CTCAGACACGTCTCTGAACCTCCTTCTGTCTCAGTTTCTTCATCTGTTAAGTGAGGCTAATAATAGTGTCCACTTCGCTGAGCAGTTATTAAATGCACAGAGCGAGATTAAGTGAATTAGCAGAGCATGTAAGACAACTCCTAGTAAATGGTGAGTGTTCAACATGCTGTATATGAGAGCTGACTATGATTATTAGAAACCTAAAACAGTGTTCTCTTCTTCAGTTTTTGTTTCCATAAATAGTAATGGAAACCTTCAGATGGCAGATGGTGATTTTTGGAAGGGCAAGCACAGTTCTTCAAGTCCTCCACCCTCCATTCTACCCAAAGGAAGTGGGATCTTTTTTATCTAGACTTCATGACCTAGTAGCCTGAATAAAAGATTAAGCTTATTATTCACCAGAATTGAAGCCAAGTATGTCGTGGTCCAGAGGACTCCTCATGTATTGCTGCTCATACAGCTCCTTTCCAGACCCAATTCAAATGTCCCTTCCTCCATGCAGTCTCTGATTTCTCTCCCTTTGAAAAACCTCCTCTAAGCTAAAAGTAATCACTCTCTGAACCCCTAAAGCAGTCTACCTAACCTACTATTTTCTATCTGGTATTAGAATTCTTTGTATACATCCCACAGTTGTTCTATCAGTCTTCAAATACTTCCCAGTCAGAATCTGGGCTAGCTTTCTACTTTGTATATTCTGCAATGCCCTGTTCACAATAGGTGCAAAGTAGATGGGTATCACTGAGTGAATTCAGCTACCTTAGCATCAACAAAGTGAGCTCTGTCAGGTTGGGTACATTCAGCTGTAAGTAAGAGAAAAACCAGAATAATGGTGCTTGAAATAGTAAGAACATGGAATTGCATTCTAGAGCAGAAAGTTGGGAGGTGAGCCGCCCAAGGCTGGTCCATCTGCTCATCTGGGTCACCATCTTTGTGCTCTTCTTCAGCCTCCCACCTAGTCACAAAATAGCTGCCACAGCTCCAAGCACTACACTTCCCTTCTGTTAGAGTAGAAACCCTTTCCCTTTCTATCTCATTGGCCAGAACTGGGTTAAATGGCCATATACCACTAACCATATCTGTTGTCCCAGCTTTGTTGATACATTTATGCCAAAGGAATAGGGAAAGCCAGAGTTATTCAGGAACAAATTTCTGGAGAAAAGACCAGTATAGATTTTTGAGCACTTTAGCCTTTTGTGGGTATTGAAGACTAATTGCCATCCTATAGATTTGGACTGTGCTTAGTTTACAAAACATTTTCATATTTTAAAAGGCAGGATCACCAAAGGTTTAAGAACATGGAGCTAGAGTGCCACTTCTACCATTTTCTTGCTGGGTGATCTTGTGCAATTTCCGCAACTTCTCTGTGCCTCAGTTTGTCATCTGTGAAATGGGAATAATACAATCTATGAGATAAGGGTTCTGAGATTCTTACATACAAATACACAGACATACTTTACAATAGTGCTTGGCACACAGGAAGCACTCCTTAATTTGCTATTATTGTGTCATTATTTAGTAACCTTGTCACTCCTTTTAAAATAGAAACAGAGTGTAGGAGTGCCTGGCTGGCTCAGTCGGTAGAGCATGTGACTCAATCTTAGGGTCATGAATTCGAGCCCCACATTGGGTGTAGTAGAGTTTACTAAGAAAAAGGAAAGGAAGGGAAGGGAAGGGAGGGGAGGGGAGGGGCGAGGGGAAGGGGAAGGAAAGGAAGTGTTAAGGCTCGGAGAAATGAGATGACTTGCCCACACTCTCACAGCTAAGTACCAGAAGGGGGTGGTCCGGATGGTCTGATGCCTGTGCTCAGAGCCCTCAGCCCTCCTGTCCTTCCTTCTTGAATTTTCTGTCAACACTGACTGAGGGGGATGCTGTTGCACCTGGTGGCTAAATATTGTTTCAAAGATGATGCTTTAGTGTGTCAAACGTATTGTGAATTATCCAAAAACAATGACTATGTCTTAAGGTCTATCCTGTACCCCAGCCCCTAACACTGAGTAGGGCACAGGGAAGATTCTGGCTAAATGGGTTTGTAAGGGGAGAGATGGCGCTTCCGTGGGGGATCTTCCCCAATGGGGGACAAAGCCCAGTGTGTGCTCTCTGAGCCTGGGGTGGGGTGAAGAGGTAGGGCCCACTCTGGGAGCCCCTGACCCCACTTACACTTTAGGAAATTGCTGTTGGAGCACTAAGCGTTAGCAGCATACAAAATCAGTTTGTGTCCGGATTGACTCTCAGAATTCCCTGTGGCCTCTATAAAATACCATTTTACTTTTTCCACCGATCTAGCTGTGGTGGCAGTGGCAGATTTACATTGTTTTACATCCAGTTAGGATTTTTTTTCTCCTTTTGGTTATGTTTTTAAGTAGAACATGTATTGCCTATAAAGAGGTGTTTTTGTTATAGACAACGGTGCCCTATAGGTAGTCACAGAGTGTTATTTCACAAATACCTATCAAACTATTAAACAAGCTGGGATCGCTGGGGCTCCGATTAAAAGGTGCTTTCTGGCTGTCTTTATCTTTGGAAGCCCCGTGAAATACCGTTACCACCCCCATTCCCCCTGTGCGGCACCAGCGGGCAGACAGATGTGGGAAGACACGGGCAGGTCTACACAGACTGTGAGGGCAGGACCCGTGTTTACACCTCCAGAACCCCTGTTTGTGCCGGGAGTCTCGCTCAGGACTTTGCTTCCAGCCTGACCTAAAAGAGGGCTCCTGGAGGCCCAGGATTCCTGGGCTGTGGGTGGGAGCAGGAGTCGGGGGGAGCCCCGTCACTGAGTGGTTCGCGGTGCCCACTGGCCTCCCTGGTGCAGGTTATTTGGCCCCTCTGTGCCTCCATTTCCTCACTCAAAAATGGGGATAATACTACTTAATAAAGTAGGGGGTGCCTGGTGGCTCAGTTAGTTAAGCGTCTGACTCTTGATCTCAGTTCAAGTCTTGATCTCAGGGTCGCGAGTTCAAGCCCTGCATTGGGCTTGGAGCCTACTTAAAAAAAAAAAAAAAAATGGGGATAATAAGAACACAGCCCCCTAGCCAGGATGTTGGGAAGGTTAAAATAGGTGTGCCTGGCAGTGAAGTTGGCAGCGTGTCAATAAACGTGCTGAACCAGGAAGGCGGAGGGAGAGGACTCTGGTTCCTTCTAGACGGTCCGCTCAGCTCTTGCCCTCCTGCCAACACTCCCGGCCTTCTGTACCATCCCGTGTGTCCGGGTTTGTGCACAGAGGGGTGCTCGGCCTCCCTTCCTGGCTGTGACTGGCCCCGATCCGCAGTGTGCCCAGACTGCAGGCGAGGGAGACACCCTCTAGGGAAGAAGGGAACTGCAGGGCCGAGATCCCTGCTTAACCCCAGAGTTGACTCCACGGCCTCAGAGTGTGAATCATTTAGTTGGGACTGGACCAAAGTTTACTGCATGTAATTGTAAGCAGGAGTGCGGAAGCAAGGTGTAAAGGCAGTGACAAGAAGACATGCCTCTGAAACCCTCCCAGAGTTTGCAATCCCCTCTCCCACATCCCTAGTCCTTCTGTCATATCTCCTGAGGGCTCGCCAGCCGGACCCTGTGCTCCGCGCCCCGAGGTTAATTCAGTTCATCAGCACTGGAGCCCAGGGGCAGTTGCCATTGTGACTCCCACTGTGCGGCAGAGGAAACTGAGGGGTTGGCCCCTAGAACGGCTGCTCACCCCGCTGGGTACAGGGCGTGGAGTCTGAGCCCTGGCTGCTCAGCTTCAGCAGGCTCTTGCAGTCTCCTAAGGAAGGAACACAACACTAGCCACAGTAAAGATTCTGATAAGTTACAGGAAACCATCACTCACCATTTTGATCATCATCATCCTCATCATCAGCATCGAGCCCTTCCCAGCAGCCCAGCCCTATGCCAAGCCTATGATGTGCATCATCTCATTTAATCTCTGTAACAACACTACAAGGCATGTACTGTTACTATACCCATTTAAAAGTTGAGTGAACCCTAAGGATCCCCAATCTCCCCTTAACCGTGTTTCCATTTTTTAAAAACATTTCTAGTAATCATTTTACATCCCCTCATGGTAGCCAAGTTCACTGTGCATTTCACACCAGACCCTTGATTCTGCGATCACCACGGTGCCTTCGAATCCAAACTGTGTGCTATGCCAATTACAGATCTTAGCCTTTCCCTGAATCGGTTCCCCCGAGGAGCTGTAATAGGTAAACTTTGTTGTGTTTGTGTGTGTGCGTGCGTGCGTGCGCTCACACGTTCTCAAAGTAAACCTGAAATTGCTTTTCAATTTGTTTTGAAATACTCCCTATACTCCCTCGTTCTGTCTTTTCACACATTCACAAAGGTCTTCCTTCCCCCATCCATCGATTCTGAGGGTTTGCTGCACTGGGAGAGTGTTAACTGATGAAACATTAAATAACAGTGCTGAAATGTAAAGTAATTCATGCAAGAATAATAGTAGAGGGTGGGGACCTCGGGGTTTTAATGAGGGCTTGGGAAGCTGTCTGAGGATATCGAAGTGAAGGGGAGAGATAAATGTTCTCGTCATTAATGCTGCACATTAAAAAGTGACCTCCTTTGGCAGGATCAATATGGTGACCTCCTGACCTTTCTTGTCACCTGGAACTTCACTTCTGGGACTCTGTGGTCCTGTTAATAAAACAGATAATCACCAGCCTGCCTTCATCTGCTGTGGAAGCTTTTTCAAAAAAAAATTTTTTTTTGAGGATGAAATTAGAAGTCACCACTTCTAGAATATTTATGTGTATATATATATATATGTTTTACTCTCAGATATATTTATTCAGGGCTTGCTCTGTAATGAGAGTTTTCACTTTTCTGTTTTCTTTTCCATTATCCCTGAAAAGAATGGATTATGGAGTAAAGATTAAAGTAGTATAATGCGACACAGTGTTTGCTAACGTGCTGTCAGATGTATTAGTAGGATGCGCCAAGGTTTGTGTCTTTTATGAATGCCTCTCAGACTGCAATTATCTAATAGACTTGGAAACCTGTTTGTATTCTTGCAGGCATTAAACGTCATCTTTGAAAAGATCCCGGAAAATGAGAGCGCAGATGTCTGTCGGAACATTTCAGTCAATGTTCTTGATTGTGACACCATAGGTCAGGCCAAAGAAAAGATTTTCCAGGCTTTCCTAAGCAAAAATGGCTCTCCTTATGGACTTCAGCTGAACGAAATTGGTCTCGGTAAGGCAATGAGGGAGCTATTCCGTCCCGATCCCCGGTGAACGCCTCTCCCACCGCCTCTCCCTTTCTCCCTGCCCATGGCATGTAAGTCTCTGCTTGTTGAAGCTCCCAGGGGCACGTCTGGGGGCCCAGAGCCTGCACGGCTCTCCCACAAGCAGCATGATTCTTTCTAGGAAGCATTATCCTTCAAAGACACTGGTTTTTTTAAAAAAAAATATTATGTTTGTAAATCAGATTCATGAGATTGCTCACCCTGAGACTGAATGGGTTCACCTTGCATCAAGAAGTACAAAAAGGCATAAACCCCGTGCCCTCTCTGTGTGTTGCATTTCGCATTGGCATTTGATTTGTTTGTTGTGATACCGAGTGTGTCATTAGTGGGTGGCTCAGACTCTGGGTGTTAACTCCAGCACACTAGAAAGGTCATCTTCCTCGCTGCTGATCGCATCCTGCATTAAGTATGGTCTCCATCCTTCCCCCCACCCCGAAGCAGCATCTGCTATGAATTCGTTCTCGGGCTCTATTGGTATCTGCAAAGGAGAGCATATGCATGAGCGAGCTAACAGAGCTCTACTCCACTCCAATGTTCATCACTGTTTTAAAGTTGAGCTCCCTGCAGCCCTCCCCGGAGACTGTCGTGGGATTTTATAGCAGATAATGGGACAGGAAAGAAGAGTAAAATCACAGCAGTGACAGCGTAACAAGGTTCATCTCCCCTCAGTGTAGACTTGCAGCTCCGACTAAGCAGGCAATTAAAATCATCCCACCTGGCCCTCCAAGGCCAAAGCTCCCGCTAAACGGCCATTTAGAGAAGCCTGGGGGCAGGGCCTGGCAGGTGCGGGAAGCCAGGCAGATGTGCAGCAACTATGTGACTCAGCTTCCAAGAAGGGGCCGCCAAGGCCCCTCTCCTCAGCTTCTCTTCTGTTTCCTTCTGTTGGGTGGACTGTTGGAAGCTTGGCCGAGGTAGGTGACTTGGTTAGAGGCGGGATCACAGAGGCAGCCCCAGACGGGAGGCCGTCGTCACTTGACCCAGAACCATCACCTTCCTTGCTGCAAGCCTACCTCCCGCCAGTGTGTGGCTCTGGCTGCCAGGAGCTGGGCACAAGGGGCCCACAGCCCAGGGGCCTCAGCCCTGCCATGTGGAGTCAGCAGTAATATCCTCTTGCCATTCCTGGGCTTGAGCCCATCAGTTCCTCCTGATAGGGGAAGGCAGGCAGCAGAACAAGTCTCCTAGAGGCTTCACGTTGTAGTCTGATGGGAAATGGGAGCATAGCATCCCAGCCTGTCAGGCTTCTGCTGCCGTGATCATCTTGCAAACGACCTCCAAGGCCGGCCTCAGAAAACCAAGGCAAACCCTCGAAGCCAGCCTTAGGTTGTATTGAAATCCTATCCCAGAGTCACTGTGGGAGACCTCCTCTAGCAGAGGCTCATGAACTCAGAGGCCCGGAGGGGCAGCAACTGTCAAAAATAAGGGGTGCTGGCCCACCTACGACACCAGGAAATGGTGGGGCCCAACTTCACCGGGGGAGGACAGCTCATCTAAGGGGGTAGTGCCATGTAGCTTCAGCCAGTGGTTGCATGCAGGCCGCTGGGGTCAGTGATATCGGATGATCCCGTTTTTTTAAAAGAGAACTCAGGGGCGCCTGGGTGGCTCAGTTGGTTGAGCGACTGCCTTCGGCTCAGGTCATGATCCTGGAGTCCCGGGATCGAGTCCCGCATTGGGCTCCCTGCTCAGCAGGGAGTCTGCTTCTCCCTCTGACCCTCTTCCCTCTCGTGCTCTCTATCTCTCATTCTCTCTCTCTCAAATAAATAAATAAAATCTTAAAAAAAAAAATAAAAGAGAACTCAGTCTGAATTTTTATGAGCCATCTCCTGATCTTTGACTGTTGGTGCTGAATTGACATTAGTAATAAGCAAAACACTGTGAAGGTTCACACACACACAAAAAAATACACACCGGTGGGCCACATTCTGGCCCTAGGGCACGAGCTGGCAACCTCCATAAAAGAGCTTGAGGTGTGTGGTTTGGAATATTAGCCCACCAGTGCACCCCCACAGGGACCTCCAGGAGACTGTTCACAGCGCACCTGCTTGGGAACATACAAATTTGTTGTTGGAATTTTCTGCAGAGCTTCGTCCCTCTAAGGATACATTATTGTGTTCTCATTGGCTTTACTTCCAGGCTTAGCCTCAGAGTATAAGCTTCAGGGAAACATAGTCTTAAAAGTCAAAGCCCTAAACACAAAACAAAAACAAAACTCAGGCTACCTGTCTGGCTGAGATATCTCCAAATCTTCAGACAAATATTAACCACTTTATTTAAGCTGTATCCCTAAATAATAATTGCTACGGTTATTACAGAGTAGCATTTAAACTTTCTCACTATAATGTCAGAGGAGAACAAAATACACTCTTTTTTTTTTCCTTCCCAGAGCTACAAGTGGGTACACGACAAAAAGAGCTGCTGGATATTGACAGTTCATCTGTGATTCTTGAAGATGGAATAACAAAGCTAAATACCATCGGCCACTACGAGGTAAGAGTGGGGCTGAGCCCTCGACATCTTCTTCCCCGAGCCCCATCCTGACTCAATTAGATCATCTCCAGGTAAACCAGGAAAATTCTTTTAAAAAAATTACACAACTCTCACCGTTTTCTGGCATAGTTTGCAGATTGCTTTCTCAGTTGCTCATTTGGAAGAGCCCAGGAATCCCTCTCTGTCCTGGTGTGCGGTCCCCCTGGGTCCTCCCTCCTCTGTGAGGCCTTCGATTTTCATGCGACTGGTCACTCTCCATCCTGCGGTTTGGGTGGGAAACACCACCTCATGGCTCTCCACGGTGTTCGCAGAACCACGTAACCTTTGTGTAGGGTCCTTTTTTTTTTTTTCCTGAAGAAGTTCTACATTTCCTGTTTGTTTACAGTATTCAGTCCTACCTCCTGGGGCCCCTGACCCACATGCTGGCTGAGTGACGAGGTGGGTATGGGGCGCACGTGTCAGAGACCTGTGAGCCGGAGAAGCCTGCACAGAACAAGAGAAAGGAGGCAGGGAAGGTTCCTGAACATGCTGGGATCATGGGAGTCATTCAGCAACATTATCCAAATCTTTGTTGAATATCTGCTCTGTGCCGAGTGCTGGGGTTGCATGCAAGAGGAACAGAGACCAAGCTCCTGACTTCAGGGAGCCTACCGCCTCAGGAATGTAGCGGGGGGCGGGGGGAGAGGGGAGACGAGGAAGGAGGCAACACCTACAGTGTAACAGTGCCGTGGCTCAGAGCCGCTGAGAAAGCTTCCTGGAGGAAGCTGTGACTAGGTGGAGACCTGAAGAGTGAGGAGAACTTAACCGGGCCGGGATGGGGCGCCAGCATACCCCACATGTTCTTCCACAGAAAGTCTTGTCAGCTGGTTAAAACTCGAGAGGCGCGGGGGTGGCAGTGAGAGCCAACAATCCAACAACAGCCGATGTGATGAAAGCCTCACTCTGCCAGACTCTGTCCTCGGCACTGCGCCTTCTTTGGGCTCATTCCATCCTTTATACAGCAGGCCTATGAGGTAGGCGCTGTTATTAACCCTCTTTATAGATGGGTACACTGAGGCGCAGGGAGGTTTACTAGCAGCTAGCCAGTGGCAGAGCCAAGATCTGGACCCAGACAGTTGGGCCCCAGGGTCTGTGGCCTAACCAGTATCCCCCACAGCCTGTCAGGGAGGACGGCAGAGAAGCAGGGAGGGAGGCGAGAAGGGGAGGCACACATTGTGCAGCCCTGTCAGCTTCGTCAGGAGTTTGACTTTGGTCCCCAAAATAGGCCCAAGAAACCACTGGAGGATCTTGAGGGATTTGTGTCTCAGAAATGCCTGTGGTGTGTATGGAACATGGATAGAAGAGGTACGAGGTAATCGGGAGGCCCTTGGAAGCTGTCACTAGAAGAATTTCAGGTGAGGAATGATGTTGGCCAGAAATGACGTCATGTCTCTTGAGACGGAGACAAGCAGAGGGACTCAGGGATGGGCAGGAGTTGGGCGCCACAAGCCACGCCGATGGGAGAGTTTCTGGGTGAAGGAGGGTCAAGATGGAGCTCGGGGATGGCGGGGCAGATGCACAGACGCAGGTGCCCTTCCGGGTAGCCGAGCAGCAGGAGCAGCTTCCCAGGCCACCTAGAAAGTCAGCGCCGCCTGTCTTTCATGCCTGTGAAGTCCCAGGAAAATGTGTTTGCACAAGAAGGCCTTCGGACCCTGCAGGCTCTCCCCTCAAAGCAGAGACTATTGAGGAAGAGAGGACAGAGGATGCCTCTTCCTTGGGCTCTTTGGCTGAGTGGTTCTCCAAGCCAGTTTGGGCATAGCTGCTTTGGGTGACACCTGGCTAGGTGCTGTCCCTGGAGCCCTTGCTGGAGAGCAGCTGGCAGAGAAAGCTACGGAGTAACGACTTGCCTCGGTACTCACCCTCCTGCAGCGCAGACTTTCCAACCTCGGAGTCATCTTGCCAAGAGCTGTTGGAGTTTGTAAAACTCCCCGGGGGGACTTTCCTGATTGTGCGTCACACTCCCGAGACGCACTGCCCCAGAAGGAATTTAATGGAGAGGAGGAGGGGTTAGGGTCGGGGATGCTGCCCTGCGCGTGTAAGTCCTTAGAGGGGGCCTTAGCGTGGCTTCAGTTTGAACTTCAGGGTTGCCACCTGGCAGCCATCTCCTTCCCTCCCTGCGTCTGGGGAGCGAGTTTGTCTCAGCAAGTCTGGAAGGAACACCGCCACGGGTGCTCTTGACTGACGCGCTTGCCTTGCTCGGCTGTGCGGGGACGGCGGTCAGGCTTCTTGGAGTCCCCCAGCAACCGCGGGGCACGAGGTGGGCCACAAAGGAGGGGGGTGTGTCCACGCACTGCCCTTCACAGAAAAAGGCAGGACAGGCCCCTCCAGCAGGGAAAGGGAAGAACCACCGTATCTGTCTGCAAGGCCAGGGGAAGGCTGTCAGGACAGAGAGAACATCAGTCCTCACCGGAGACATCGGCCGTGCTAGACACCTATCTGCTTAAGGATGATAATGAAATTAATCCGGCCTGGAGTCACTTCCCGTCCAAATGATTTATTGGCTTCATACCCTAGCATTGCCACATGGTGGTAATAAATGACAAGACTAGGACACCAGGGCTTAAAGGATTCTCCTTATGTTTAAAAAGCTAAGCCGTGAGGCAGATAAACTCAGAGAGCTTGAAGGAAACTGGGGAGGTCACTGGCCCTGTGCTCTCTATGCCTGGACCATCTCAAATACCCTGTTTTTCAAAGACTGCTCAGAAAAAAGTATCCACAAGCACCCTCAGCCACCTAAATCTATACTCAGTTTAGTAGGTCCCCCGCAGATTTAAAATCTGGAGTAATTTGGCAGGGGTAGGCCGAAGCTTACTTTTGCCCTTTCGTTAAAAAATTTTCTCCTGGAGCTTGCATTTCTCTCCAAAGAGACAAGATGCTAATTACCACTCTTATTCATTTACTAAAGCACGCTAGTTTGAGTCACTGTAAGTGCTTGAAAGCAAAAAACTATATTTCATTTAAAAATAGGGTCTAACTCAGAATTTTAAGTGATTCAGACTCATCTCCCTCCAATTAGCCCAAATTAGTTAGGTTTTAAAGTTAATCTTTAGTGACGGCCAGTTCCTCCTACTGTCTAAACAAAGTCTTATTGCTGGAGTGGGAGCCCGTTTCTTCTTGCCTGTTCTGTCCTTAGGGCAAATAGAGTGTAGCTGGTCTCCTCTGAAGGATTTACTGTCCAAATATTTGAAGAACAGGTTTCTTGAGGGGATCTGAAGGCACAGCAAAAATATAGAATCTCATGGGCCAGATGCAACCTCCAGAGCCCCCAGTTGCTGGCCATGCTCTGTCCTCTATGGGATGGCATCCTCGCCAAACCTGGGCGTGGGCAAGACCGCTTTCTCCCGTGACCACAGCGCCGTTTGCGTGCGTGACCACAGCGCCGTTTGCGTGCGTGACCACAGCGCCGTTTGCGTGCGTGACCACAGCGCCGTTTGCGTGCATAAGCGCAGTTCACATTCACAACAACCCTACAAAGGTGCTCTTCTTGCCTTCCTTTTCCATCAGATGAGTGCAGAGGAGGGCAAATTTCTGCTACAGTCTCCTTCTGTCCCATGCAAACAAGGGGTAAAATGAGCGTCTCTACAAACACATTAGGCCAGAGGAATCTTTCTCCCCTATAATTACATCCTCCCCAAACGCTTCCTTAACTGGCTGTCACTGTGTGTCATTTACTATGAAGGAAACTGCAGTGTGTTCTGGAGCTGATGAGATCAGTTGTGTGTGTGTGTCGGGGGGGGTGTCTCTGGGTCCAGGCTCTCTTTCCCTCCCCCGCACCCCCGTGTGACCCTTTGCTGGATGGTGTTACCACCCTCACACCTTGCTAGAGGGTGGCATTGAGTGGGCGGAACAGGTGTTGTGTCCGGCAGGAAATGTCCTCTGCAGATTGCACCTCTCATTCTGAGCTGCGAGAGTCCAAGGGCAGAAAAGACGGCTAACCACTGTGGTGTTGAAGAATATTCTCGTAACAGGCCTGTGCTAATACCACTGTTGGTCCCCGCTAATGCCAAAGCTGTCATTCAGATGACATTTAAAGCTCATAAGAACGTTCCAAAGTGTCTGTTAGGTGAAGTCAGGGGTTCTTCCAATCAGGTGTGTCATCCGTGACACTAAAGTGAAGGGATTTGACTATCTCTAAAGGTCTCTCACAGCGTGGGTGATTTATTTAACACGCAGGGAGTACCTCTTGTCCACTGGGCACACTGTTCCAGGGGCTCTTACAAACAGCCACTGCTTTAGTTCTCGCTACAGCCCGGCAAGGTCGAGCCTATCATTATTCCCATTCTAGGGCACAGGGAGGCTGAGAAACTTGACCAAGCTCACGTGGCTCTTCTCACTGAGGCTCCAAGGCTAGAAGCAGATGCAAAAGGAATCATGCTAGAGATAGTGTCCCCTCTCGTTGCTTGGAGCCCGGCCTAGAGCCCATGGCCCTGGCCTCAAAGGCAGCCTTGGCTAAGAAACTGGACCACGTCTTGAGAAATCCTGGTAGTTACATTCACTGATGTCAAATTTGAAAAGGTAACGTCTCTTAAAATCTTCTGATGAACCTCATGTCTGTGAGTTTATCAAAATGCTTCCTTCCTTCCAATTCTGCTTTAACATCATTGACGGCCAATATTCCTTTGAACGTGACAGTGGTTGCCCTTGTCAGATACAAGGGCTCTTTCAGCATCCAAGAGCCCAGGAAAAGCAGGGGAGCGCTTAGGTTCCCAATTTCAGGCATTACTCCTGGAGGCCAGACTCGGTCCCAGGGGACAAGTTTAGGTTCTCTCTAATAGTCCTCAGAGGGAGTCTGCTACTGGCCCAGGCTTAATTCCAAGTACCCAAAGAAGCAGCAGGAGCCCGACTGGCATTTTAACTAGTTTCAATAATCCTTTAGGGTTATGTCCTGAGTGTCAAAAACCGCACGTGTGATTTGTGTGTTGAGAACGTTCTGATGGGTCCCTTCCAAACGCTCTGATGAGCCCTGAGCCTCCTTTGCTAATGGACTGAGCAAGGGTATCCCTCTGGCCCGGAGAAATAAGATTCCTTTTCATTTGCCTCCAGGTTTGGGGTGTCAGTGAGAAGAGCTAAGGGGGTAGGAGGGGAGAGCAGAATTAATGAGTAGTCGCAGGGACAACACTAGTTGAATAAAGTTCTGTTGTTTTTTTTTTTAAAGATTTTATTTATTTGTCAGAGAGAGCACAAGCAGGGAGAGCGACAGGCAGAGGGAGAAGCAGGCTCCCCGCTGAGCAGGGAGCCCGATGTGGGGCTCTATCCCAGGACCCTGGGATCATGACCTGAGCCGAAGGCAGACGCTTAATGACTGAGCCACCCAGGCGCCCTAAATTTCTGTTTTCATATAATACGTTTTAGGAATGAGAGATACCGGTAAGGGTTTCCACATGGTGATTTGTATTGGTTACTGTGTTTTCCATTTTTTTGAGAAAAAAAAGTATCACAATATTTCATAATTTTCCATAGAATTCTTAGGCTAAAATTCCAGCTTTTCTCTTAGGCTAAACAATATGAAATTACCAATATTAGACCATTTTTATCTACAAAAATGGCAGTTTTGTAAGATTAAATATAAGTTCAATCTTACATATGTAGAAAATCTATTTTTATGGATTTTTCTTCAACCTATGCCACAGAGGTAGTATTTTACCACAAAGAAATCCCACCTTCACTTGCACATGGTTTGGAGGATGTGTACCTTCTGTTTATTTCAGGAGTGATTTTAAATTGTTGACATGAGTCCTTTTCACCCTGTGTGGTCACAGTTCCTAATGCTGATAATGGAGGACTCTACAGTTTTCTCCACCCTGTTCCAACATGGGCCAGTCATCATTGAAGGGGTATAGCCTTCTTGTCTCATTGAATCCTGGAGCACTGTGAGACTGGAAGGAATTTAATTTGAAATTGCCCTGTGTTACCAGTTCTGCTCTGGGCTGGAGAAACATTCCTGCCGCAGATCCATCTAGTGACATTAATCTTTCTTTGATTTAATTTGGTTTTCATTCTTAAAGTAGGGGCCCAGAGGATGCTCTCTGCCTCACAGGAGTACAGGAGGATTAATGAGTCATTCTTAGGAAAGCATTTGGAGCTCCTCAGATGGAACAAACAGCATCATATTTTTAACACTTTAGATCCTGTGGCACTTTTCAAAAAGGCATTTCTGTCCTTAACTCGGCAGCAGCTGACTTATGCAAAATAGAAAATGGAAACCTTCCCCCCACCCTGTTCCCCAACATCTGTAAATAAACTAGTTTCTGTCTTACAATGGCGTTAGTGTCACGTGGTGGGGGGGAATGTTCCAGCCCGAGAGCAGCTGTGAAAGTTAGAAATACACTTCACACACAGGCTCAGACACACACACAACTCATCCCTAATAAAATGCTTTTGCACTTGCTCTTGGGAGATAATTTCAGAGTAGAATTTCCTTGGTGCAAGCTGCGTCTGCGCTCTCCCAGTGCCTGAGCTCGGTGCCAGCAGTGAGTCGTTGCCAGCTCTTGAAAAGACATTTGAACTTTTGGCAGCGCTCCTTATCGGAAGGCCCATCCGTGGTGGTTGTGATTATAGAGTAAGGGTGCGCACGTTTAGCAAAACAAAGCATCTGACAGTAGTGGAGTATTGGCTCAACACTCAACAGGAGCCATTTGGGATTCATTCTTTGACAATTACCCAGAATGAATCACCAGCTTCCTTTTATAAAAAGATATTTATTGGCTTAGAAACCGAGCATATCCAGCTCTTCACGGGGAGGAATTTTGTAACGCTGTTCAAACATTCTCATAAACTTGGTGTCTGAGTGTTGCTAAGGGGGTGCCTGTGCCGAGTGTTTACTTGCATCAAATACGGAGGAGAATGGAAAAATCAACCAGAAAACAACGAATGGTTCAAGGGGAAAGGAGAGGATGTTTGGCAATAACAGCAGAGCAGAATTCAGTAAGAGTTCAGAATCCACGGTGGAGACACTTGTCAGAGGCCTGATGGCCCAGCCAGCCCCCGCCCAGTACTCTCGCTCCCTCCAAGTGGTCGTGAACCCCAGCGGTTGGGGGCCTCTGGCCTCAAGGTAGCAGGTGGCTAGACACAGCTGGCTGGCCCGCTTCGCTCGGGGCGTCTCTGCAGGGTCGGCTCTGCTCTCTGTTCCTTCCTCTGTGGGTGCAACCTGAAGGAGATTCGGCTTTAAGCCTTTGGTGCTTGCTAGGAAGGTTTGTACATTCTGATAACGAAATGTGCAGCAGGCCAGAGGAGTAATTCTAGGTTTCTACTTTTTTCCCAACTGGGGAAGGCTGGGTCCAAAGTAGTATTAGAACTTGAGAATGGAGGGGAAAAGCACTGAGCTGACAGTGTTCTCAAGCGAAGGCGTTAATCCTCCCTCCACAATCCCAGAATGAAGGCAAGGATTTGTGTATCCCTGACCTGCCTCTTCCTCAAGGCCCCCTTGTCTGAAATTTTTGTGGACTTAGCCCCTCAGAACAGCGAGGGCTGCCCTCTGCATCTTAGCATCTAGTCCCCTTGGCCTGAAGAGTGCTTCTCCTGGTTGGTTGTAGGGGAGGGCTGCACTGGAGGGCCATTTGGTGCTGGGTTCCACAGTCCCAAAAGGCCTCAGGTGAGAACTCCTGACTTTATTGACAAAAGAGGGTATGCATGGGTATTGCAATAGTGTGTCAGTGTGGTAAAAGCATTTATTTGTCAAATGTGTGAATTTAAAATCTGTGGCAGTTTTTTTTAGCAGCTCTATTGAGATATAATTTATATAACCATAAAGGTCACCTTTTAAAATGTACAATTCAATGGTTTTCGGTGCATTTACAGAGTTGTGCAATCATCACCACAATCTAAGTTTAGAACATTTTCATCACCCCAAAGAGAAACTCGAATTCATTAGCAGTCACTCCTCATTCTTCTGACCCCTGCTTTAGGCAACTAGTAATCTACTTTCTGTATGTATAAATCTGTCTGTTCTGGGCATTTTATATAAATAGAATCATACAATATGTGGTCTTTTGTGACTGGCTTCTTTCACTTAACATATTGTTTTTGAGATTCCCATTGTAGCATGTATCAATACTTCTATCTTTTTATCGTATGACAGTTTTTTTGTAGTATATTCATTCAATGCAATAATACAAAGTAATTTTAAAAGAAAGAACTGGTAGCTGCAACAATATGGATAAACATCACAGACCTTATGTTGACCCTAAGAATCCAGACATAAGAATATATTTATACAGTTGACCCTTGAACAATGCGGGTTTGAATTGCGCAGGTCCACTTACATGCAGATTTTTTTCAATAAATACAGTATAGTACTATAAATGTACCTTATGATTTTAATATTTTTTCTCTAGCTTTATTGCAAGAATACAGTATATAATACACAAACATACAAAATATGTGTTGACTGTTCTTGGTAAGGCTTCCTATCGGGCTATTAGCAGTTAAGTTTTAGGGGAATCAAAAGTTCTATGTAGAGTTTCAAATGTGCAGGCTTGGGGGGGAGTACCCCCTACCCCCCATGTTGTTCAAGGGTCAGCTGTATTATATGATTCCGTTTATAAATGAAGTTCAAGAACAGATGGAAGTCAGACCAGTGATTACCTCTGGCTGAGGATACAGTGGTTACTGACTGGGAGGGGATAATGGGGGTACTTCTTGGGACCTTGAAATATTTTATATCTTGATGTGGGTAGTGCTTATATAGGTATGTATTTAAATGAACATTCACTGAGCTGCACACTTAATATTAGTGAACGTTAAGTGCCTTCCTGTAAGTTATACTTCCATTTTAAAGTTTTTATTTAAAAGTGTATGCAATTCTTATGATTTCAAAAGCTCCTTTTTAAAAATATGATATAGCTGCAGAAAAGAGAAGAAATCATAAGTGTACCGCTGGATGAATGATCACAAAGTGAGCACGTCCTATAACTACCACTCAGGTCAAGAAGTAGAACGTTATGGGTACTTTAGAAGTCCCCTCCTGGTCCCTAACCCCTCTTTCTCCTGCAAATATCTAACATCGTAGTTTGACTGTTTTTGTGTTCATTTAGGTTTTTTTTTTAGCTTTATGTGAATGGAATCACACAGTATATATACATTCCTTTGTGTGGCTTCTTTTGCTCAATATTATCATTATGAGGTTTACCCATGTAGTGTGTAGAAATAATTTGCTCACTTCCATTGTTCTATATTCTGTGGTATGGACATACTCCCAATTATTTATTCATTGATGATATTTGGTTGTTTCCAATATGGGGCAATGACAAATAGGATATATGCTTCTTTCTGTTGGGTATATGTCTAGATGTGAAATTGCTCTGTCATAGGATTAGACACCAGCTCTAGATAACACAGCTTTTGAACACCTGTTTCAGCATTTCTTAATATAGTAGGAACCTCAAAAAGTTAGTGGCCCAAGCCTCTCTTGACCTCTGAGAGGCTGGGGTACATCCTAGCACAGCCTCATCTTCCCCTCCTCCAGTGCGGGCCCACCTCCCAGTGGCCCCAAGACCCTGGCCTCCCCCTCCCAGCCTCACTACACCTCACTGCGCTGTCCGTGTCCTCCTCAGGACTGTGAGCTCCTTGAGGGTAGAGATAGTGTCTTGGTCATCATTACAGCCCCAGCCTCCAGCACAGTGCCCAGAACACAGAATTTCTTGATAAATATTTAATAAGTGAGAGAATGTAAGATCCATCCAGCTATCTAATTCCTGGATGAAGTTGAGAAATACATTAAATTTTGAAAACTCATATATTTTTTACCTTTTCTTTCAGATATCAAATGGATCCACCATAAAGGTCTTTAAGAAGATAGCAAATTTTCCTTCAGGTAACCAATATAATGTTAACCTTTTGATCTCACCCACCTTTCTAAAGTATCGCTTTTTGCCTCTCTCAGATATATTGTCACAAAGGTGAGATTGAGTTGTTGCTATGTAATTCTCTGAAATTGGAGAAAAGCCATTTGATCGGTTTCTGTTCCTCAAAATGTGAGCCTTGCAAGGAGGCGGACAGGAAACAGTAAAGAGCAGTTGGCCGGGACTGCCCAGTACTAAGGAAGTTGCTGCCTCTTGACAGCCCTAAACTCAGGACAGAATCTGAGCCTTCCTTGCTCTATGCCAACTCCTCAGTAGGATGGGGGCAAATAGAGGAGACCCCTCTGGCAAACTAAGAGGGAAGCTTGTAGATAGTCACACAGCCCTGCAAGTGCTGAACAAACAAGATAATCCACTTAGAAATCCAAATCTCCTTTGATAGCATCTGCAAAATTCCCAGAAAGTGATTGAGACAAACCAAATGGGGAGCTTTTATGGGAAAGTATATAAACTGGTCTCTAAACTCTCTACCACCTCCCTGATAGCCTCAGGACAAGAAAACATTTGTGATGGTGCCTTGAGAAAATCCCTAGATCCTGGTTCAGGTTGGTCTCCAGAGAAATTATACTCCAGCCAAGACAATCAGTCCTCAGCCCTTAGAAGGGTTTTGGGCCTCACCGGCAGGACTTCTCACACACACAACTGGAGGGGAGGCTTCCTGATTCCTGGATTCAATACTAAGGGCAGCCTGGTAGGTCCCAAGACCTAGTCAGTGCAAACAGGGAATGCAGGGACTCTAGTTAAATGGAAAGGATAATTTGGTAGGTTGTAGGACACCCTTTTGGGGATGCCCCCCAGTCCATCATTACATCTGGCTATAGTGAGAGAAGGCATCTTGCAGAGGCTGATGGTCATTCTGGCATAGGGGAATTGGTGTCCTTGTGTTATAAAAAGTGGAAGAGCTTTGTATTTTAAGCTTCAAAGATCAGGCCTTTGGCAGAGCTTACTCTTTGGGGATCTTGCATTTGGATTTCTTCAGGGGACCTCAGGGCAGTCAATGCCTCTGCTTCTTCCCTGTCCAGTTCAGCTGAGAACCATCATTTTGATCACTCCCCTGCTAACCCTTCAAACCTCCTGCCCCTGTCCCCTTTCACCACTGTCTCAGTCACAACCCCAGCCATAGATGAACCCAACTACTGGCCTTTTCTGAACTATACCCAGGCAGCCACTGGAGGAAAGTATGATTGGAGTCATTATAAATTCATGGTGCCCACATGACGGGGGACCCTCAATACAGCCTAAACGCACTGTTTCTCTAGGTAACTCACTCTGTGTTCTCCAGAATTCTACCTTCTCTCCTCAGAGCTCTCTGACCCACAGAGCTCTATCAGCAGCTGATTTGATCCTGCACCTCACAGAGAAAACAGGAGTCACAACTCTTTCAACGTCCGGCACCAAACCTCCCACCCCACCTGTGTCTGCCCATTTCTTCCTCTGTGGCTCCCCTGGCATCCCAGGGTTTTCCTTCCTCACGTCCAAGGCCAATCTCTCACTTGTGCCTTCCACCCCAATCTTTCCAGCCTTCCACACATTCTTACACCACAGATAATCTTGTCTCCCCTAAACTTTCTATAGCTCCCTGCCTACTGCAGTTTTTCCCTTAGTGTTTCAAGGTGTTCTAGTCTCCCTCATCTTCAATACAAAAAACCTAGTGCCTTAATCCCTCTTTTCCCCCCATTTACTGCCACATTTCTTTCAGGGGTGTCCTCACTCTGTGCCCACTCTCGCGCTTGCTCTGGGAGCTCCAACTCATTGCCCTTCTTTTGGATCCCAGGAGGGCGTCGGTTCTTCCCACCTTAGGGTCTCCTCCATTTGCCTGGCTAACTCCAGTCATTAAGTTCAGCTCCAACATCCCTGCTCTGAGAAACCTCCCAGAGTAGGTTGGACCCTCATTAGTTACTTTCTTAGTATATACTTCTTCATAAGCCTTATCACAATTCCAGTTAAATAACTATAATTAGTCACAGAAAGTTTCTCATCGGCTAGGATGTAAACACCATTGAAGGGAGCTAGGTCTGTCTTATCACTACCTTTTGCCTGGGAGCCCCTGGCACTCAGTGGGTGCCCCGGGTGCATTTGTTAATGAGTAAGGCTTGAACCTCTCCTACCCCACCCCCAGCAAGGGACCACTCAGCCTGTTGGGAACCTGCTTCCTACTCCAGGCCCTGGCCCATTCTGTCTTCACGTTGTAAGATCTTAACGTGCAGCAGGGTGGGAAAAAAAAAAAAATGTAGCTATGAAGAGCTCAAGTGGAAGAGCTGGAGTAACCTCTTCTGTTCATAGCACAAATGGGGCATTTTATGAGAAGGCCAATTAGCCCGTGGTGGTTTTTTTAATAGACTGTTTTCTCTCCCTTTCTCTGGCATTCAGATGTGGAATACTCAGAAGACCACTGCCATTTGGTGAGTTCAGGCTTTCTTGTGCTTGCCCCTGAATTGGATGCCTTCTGTAGCACGAATGGTCTCCGTGGGTAACGCTTCTACTGTCTTCCCGTTAGATTTTACCAGATTCGGAAGCATTCCAAGATGTGCAAGGAAAAAGACATCGAGGAAAACACAAGTTCAAAGTAAAAGAAATGTATCTGACAAAGCTGCTGTCGACCAAGGTACACTTACTGTTCTGGGAGTGCTTTTATGGCTACCTTGGGGGTGTATGATGTGTTTGACTTAATTTCCACTGAAGTGTGAAAATGTTACAAATCCCTTGTGCCTTCTAGCAAAGCAAAATGAAAGTTTAAATTGTAAACACTTCCTACCCTCTTCTTTTTTATAAACCACGAAGATAACAGCACTTTACAAATTTTGACTATTGTGTCTTCAATCAGGGATTTAATATTGTTCCCAATCCCTTTACCCACCATTTCACTATTGTTATTTTTTAGGTTGATGGCATAATTACTTCTTTTTGTTTGTTATTATAGATGAGTAATAAAACTCCCTCTCTGAATTGCAAATAAATGAAGGGTGGGGTCAGTGACTATAAGCCTAGTAAATCTTTTTTTTTTTTTTTCCATTTTAAAGTTAAGGATGCTGTTCATCTATAAAAAAATGTCAGATGTAAAAGCCGGTGGAATACCAAATCAGAAGCAAATTTTACTTTATCTGGCTTGTAGTGGGATTAACAGAAGCCTGTGGTGATCCTTTTTTTTTTCTTTTTTCCTGAAATGACTACCAATATAAATGCTATTATCTACACCTGGCCCTGGTCTCCTGATGGGCATGCGTCTTCAGATTATAGCAGAGGGTATGCTTAGAGCTCAGTAGATTTGTTTAGTGGACAGAGGACAGCCAGAGCCTCTTGATTTTCTCCTCTGTCCCACAGAGCTCTGCCTATTTGGCTTTTGTGAAACACTCAAATGTTTTGGAAAGTACATAATAAAAACCTCTATGATGGAAATACATGCAACAAAAAAATTCAGGGAACTGAGCAACGTTGAGTTTTTCCAGGCTGAACATAACTAATAAAAGCTAAACATCCGTGGCATCTTGGTTTCTGTATACAGCCCTACAACTGACATTTCAACTGCTAGAGATTTTTCTAAGATATCCTCTCTGTTGACTAAACAATCTTCTTATCAGCAAGAAGCTGATGAACCAAATGTAAACCTGGGCATGAATTTTCAGGGCCCTTGTCCCATACTGTGAGTGTTGGCCTCATTTGATCATTTGCCATATTTTCTCTTCTATACATCATTTTCTCTGAACTGGGATTTCATTTTCCATTGTATTCAAAACTGCTTTTTTTTTTTTTTTTTTAAATCTCCCAAGTCTGATGTTCTCTGTCTTTCAGGTGGCAATTCATTCTGTGCTTGAGAAACTTTTTAGAAGCATTTGGAGTTTACCCAACAGCAGAGCCCCATTTGCTATAAAATACTTTTTTGACTTTTTGGATGCCCAAGCTGAAAACAAAAAAATCACAGATCCTGATGTCGTACATATTTGGAAAACAAACAGGTGGGAATAAACAGTAGGTGATTACTATTTTCAAGAATCTGGGACAGAATCTTAACTGAAAGGAGGGCCTGGATAGTCACAGGATTCATTATCCCCAGACCAGAATCTTTTGGCGTGGTAAGCTATCAGGTCAGAACAGATTCTTCCTCTGTTACTATTTTTAAATAAGAAACAAACCCTTCCTACGCTGAGATCCTATTCTTTAGGATAAAATAAACTTTATTATCTTTAATGCGTGAAAAAGACCTTATATGGAATGTTAAATGTAGCTTGTATCTTAGCAAAAGATAAGAAATCAGTATTTTGTAGTTTTATTATACAGTTTTCCATTAGAGAATACTTAATCATTTTGCAGTTACCAAGCTGTCTACACTCTGATTCTGCAAGGACATTTCTGTTTTTATGTGATCCAGTGCAGTGTTTAGATACCAGGAGAATTTGCCAAAGGACTGTGTTTTGTTTTCTAACATTTTACCTTAAGCTGAGGCAAGGCATCTGGGTCTCTTCTCAACTTCTTCTCAGTAAAGAAACATGGCTCATTACCTCTATTTGAAATACTTTGTGCGTGAGCTGTGAATAAGACTCGGTGTTAAGGTGTAGTCGAAGTTTCCAATGCAATCTCAAGCCCTCCTGAGCACTGAGGGTGGGCAGACCAATTTAAATAAATATGAAAAGCTGAAGTTCCAGAGCTCTAGGTCTCATCTTCTCCCATTTAATCCAGGTCTGTCCCAACTATCTACACTGGCTCACTGCCATCCTGTGTTCTAGGCTCTGATTCCCTGGTCCTGCTACTTCCACACCAAGCGTGGGTGCTGCAAGCACCCATTTCACTGGGAAGATTGTGGCATCTGAGCAGGGGCAGTAGTCAGGAGAGTAGAGCTAGGGAGAGGCCCAACGGCTTTATGCTGCAGGTAGTTTGCTAGGCCAGACCTGAGAAGATGATAATGCAAGGACTCTGAATGATTCCCAGGTTCGTGTTCAAATATTTGAGTACCTACTCTGTGCCAAGCACTGTTAGGTGCCAGAAAGATAGCAATGAACTGAAGAGACAAAGATCCATGTTCACACAGAGCTTGCATTCCAATGAGTGGAAGAGGTCATAAATGGGCGATGGCTAGTATATTAGGTTAGGACAGCAGACAAGGCGGGAAAGGAAGATAGAGAGGAACAGGGTGGAGTGCTCAAAGGAGGCCTAGGGGGGGATAGTCAGGTCGGGTCTTGCAAGAGGTGAGGGCATAAACCATGAGACTATCTGGTTGAAGACAGTGTCTGGAAGATGGACAACAAAATCAAAAGTTCTCTGAGGCACACGCTTGCCTGGTATGCATGAAGAACAGTGAAGAGGCCAATGGTGCAGTTAGAAGGAAGAAGGGGAACAGCAGCAGATGGGGGCCTGGGCCCCGACCATGCAGGGGCTTTATCCCCAGCGGAGGGAGAACACAGAGCGTTTTGAGTAGAGGAGGGACACGATCTGACTCCAGCTTAAGAAGATTGCTGGTAGTTGTGGGAGAATTAACTGTGGGGACCTAGGGAGCTAATAACCCAGGTGAGAGGCAACGGTGCCTTACACCAGGGTGTAGCACTTAGAGGGGGTGAGCAGAGGTGAAGTTCTGGAGACGGGATGAAATGTTCTCACGGGTAGCCATCATCTAACATAACCGAGAACTATCTGGAGAAAATTCTCGTCAGTGGTCACTTTCGTGTTTCTCCTCTTCTAGTGCTCCCATCCAGCAGCGCTTGTCAGTTTAACCCTTTCTTGTTCTGAGTGATGCTGCCATCCATCACTCGGTATATTTGGCAAAGCAGACTTGCATACTTCAATAACAAGGGCAAAATCACCCATTTACAAACTGTGATAAACAGAGCATCCGCCTCCTACGAAGGGCTGTATCTGAAAAGAGATTTCTCTTCAACAGCCTTCCTCTTCGCTTCTGGGTAAACATCCTGAAGAACCCTCAGTTTGTCTTTGACATTAAGAAGACACCACACATAGACGGCTGTTTATCTGTGATTGCCCAGGCATTCATGGACGCATTTTCTCTCACAGAGCAGCAACTCGGGAAGGTAAGGCCTAGCTTTAGTATTTCTTAGATGTACTTATATATATACTCCTGTGAGTCTGAAGCATTCTTTCTTGTAAACATCCAAACAAAAAACCATAGCAGCTAAAAAGAGTCAGTGGTAGTAACTGAAAATTTTTTTCTTTAAAAGCTGTCTCATTTATTTTTCATCTAGTCAAAAAAAAAAAAATTATTCTCCCCATCCTACTGCAGAACTCCGCCTGTGAATACCTTTACCACAAAAAGTATAAATTTTGTTTCCTAGAAAAACATTCTGCAGGCAGTACTAAACTATGAAACTACTGAATTTTGCTTAGCTAAATTAACCCCATCGGAATATAGTTGACCCTTGAATAATGGGGATGATGGGCACCAATCCTTCATGTAGTTGAAAATTACCCTGTAACTTTTGGCTTTACCAGCACTTAACTATTAATAGCCTACTGATGACTGGAAGCTTTGCTGTTAATATAAATAGTCCATTAACACATACTTTATATATGTTATATGTATTAAATACTATATTCTTAAAGCTAGAGAAAACATCAAGGAAATCATAAGAGAAAATGTATTTACAGTACTGAACTCTGTCGAAAAAACTCCACGAAGAGTAAAACAGACCCACATAGTTCAAAACCATGTTGTTCAAGGGTCAACTGTACACCTAAGAGTCTACCTGAATATAACAGATTGCTCCTGGGGAAGAAAATCTTGCCTGAGATTTCTGTCACCACCAGTTTGTCAGTTCATAATCAGAACATCGATATTGTTTTTCTTTTGGCTTTCTTTGCTGAGCAAAAGCCCCAGGAAATCAAAGAAAGATAAAAATACAGAGCAAACTTTGAAAGGGATGTTTTGGTCTTATTCAAGCCCTCCAGAATGTATTAAACTGAGCAATATCTGTGCCTAATGGATTTCAGAAAATCTTTTAATACTGAGTGGTGTCCCTTTGGTGTAAGGACTGAGAGAGTGCCTGGAATGAAATGTGGTTGAGGTTTCATAGGTGCCTCGGCCTCCTAGTCTAAATCTGTAATATCACCACTATTTCTGCAAAACAAACCTGTCTTTACTTTTGTCTTCCTAGCATCGCCTTGTCTCTCAGGGTAAAATCCTTTGGGTTATCTCGACTCCTCCTCCTCCCTCCCTTACCTAATTGGTTACCACTCATTGCCATCTCCAGAAGGTCTGGTTTTGTTTTTTTTTTCCCTCATTCTAGCCTCTCCCTTCATCCCCTCTCCCCTAACCTTCTCCTTTTCGCTGTCTCACGTTGTCATTCTAAAACAAAAACCCGATCTTTTCAGTCTCCTGCTTAAATATTGTAAATACTCCCCATTACCTACCAGGTAAAATCTTCACAGTGCCACGTGGCCCTTCCTGATTGGGTGTCAAGCCTCTTTTCTGGCAAACTCCATATACTTTCTATGCTACAGCTTTTACTTTTCCCAAATTTACCATGAACTTGTTTTCATATCCCTTTCCTGTCTCATAACCCCTCTGTCTTGTAAAACTCTTGTTCATTCATTCATTCGCTCCACACACACAACTTCCTAATGTGTACCAGAAACTGTAGGAGGCTGTGATCAGTCTAAATATACCTACTCTGTGAACGTTTTCCCTATACACTGCCCACACCAGTTCTTCATTTGACCCATGCAATGAAACACTAAAATGCTTCTTTATTCACAGTAAAAAAAAATGTTAACGCATTCCTGTGTTCTTGGTATATTTCACTTAATCATCACAAGAACCACATAAGGTAGTTATTACCTTTGTTTTACAGATGAGGAAATTCATGTTCTGAGAGGTTACAAGTCTTGGTTAAGATTCCTCAAAGTTGTTAGGATCCCTAATTTGTCTCATTCCACGGTGCTTTTCTTTACACCCTGCTACTAATTATTGGTATCATAGTAACCACTATGTAAGTTTGTCTTCTGAACTAGATTATAAGCTCCTCAAAGGCAGGTACTGGTCTTTACCTTTTTGCACTCAATGTCTGCCACAGTTCCAAGCTAAATAAATTTTATTGAATGCATGATCACATGATTTGTGGATTCTACTTAAACTTGACAAAGAATCTCAGTGTAGGCATCCTTCAGAATGATGCAGCCACTAATAGGGCTATTCGTGCCCTCAATACATTGAAAAACGTACTGGGACATTAGCCCTATCATTAACTCACCCATCTTCCCTGAGTAGGAAATTCCAAAAATTTTGTGAAAAATGGCTTTTAAAAATAAAATCTTAATTTTTAGTATTATCACTATTATAATTACATAAAAACATTCAAGCTGACAGGGAACTTTTGTGAAATCAAGACATTAGAGCCCCTAATACTAATGACCATGTACTTCCTTGAGAACAGTAGAAGATCTTTATAATCTAATAAAAGGGACAAGCAGAAAAATCCACCACCGCCAATTACTTACCACTTTCATGGTTATATAAAGGGCTCAATCAGACCTACAATCAAGTCTTTCATAAATGCCAAAATTCACTGGTGGGTGAGGATGAGAGCAAATGTTTTAATTCAGGCTTTTTACAACCATTAGTAATGAACTATGATTGAAATAAGTTCCATTGTTACAGTAACTCAAAATCATGCAAAAATAATAATTTTAGTTCTTTTATGAGAGGAAGGCAGAATATATTAGCATTTAATCTGCCTGAAAAGAACAGTGACTCACCAGAACTATCTGGATAGCAGTCAGTCATTCAGTCAACAACATTTATGAAGGCCCACTGCATGAAAAAGCTTTGTTACTAGGAGGTAATAATGGTGGAGGTTCAGCTACACTGGTACTGTTATAAATTCCCCATGACTGTTCTATTTTTCAGGAAGCACCAACTAATAAACTTCTCTATGCCAAGGATATCCCAACCTACAAAGAGGAAGTAAAATCGTATTACAAAGCAATCAGGGATTTGCCTCCATTGTCATCTTCGGAAATGGAAGAATTCTTAACTCAGGAATCTAAGGTATTGTTAGAAAGTAGAAATAAGAGGGGTGCCTGGGTGGCTCAGTTGGTTCAGCTTTTGACTCTTGATTTTGGCTCGGGTCATGATCTCAGGGTCCTGGGATCAGGCTCTGTGCTGGATGTGGAGCCTGCTTAAGATTCTCTCTCCCTCTCTTAAAAAAAAAAAAAAAGAAATAAGATAATATTTGGTTACTTCTTTTTTAAAAAGTCATTTCAGAATCTCTCAACAAGACTCTCTTTCTTTAAGAAACATGAAAATGAATTTAATGAAGAAGTGGCCTTGACAGAAATCTACAAATACATCGTAAAATATTTTGATGAGGTAAGATTTTAAGTAACATTTTAAAAAAATGATAGGAGTCAGTCACCAGGATTTGGTTGTCAAGCGTTCTGTAGGTCTCAGGACAGCTCTGGCATCCCTAATGGCCAGAAAGGGAAGCCAGGAAGTCTGTCTGAGATGGGGGATCCTGGCACCAAGCCAGACCCTGCCTGTGGCTGCCCCTCTTCTAGTTTATCATGCTGCCCACCTTTGGACCAGCGTGAATTTACATTTGAGTTAATGGGGTCTGTAGCCACACTGACTCAGGATAACTTTGATGAGTAAGTAGTGGTCCTATTAAATAGGGCCAGCTTATGCTTGATTGTAATCTGCTAAAATGAAAGCTAAGCTTGTTAAATTGCCTAGATTCTGTATTCGATAGGTATATGAAAGTATAACATTATTTCTAACTTAAGCAACTATTTCAATAAACCATTCTCCTTTATGATTAATTCTCCTTAATTTGGATTTTTTTCTTTGGGAATTCACACAGACTCAGTCATCAGATGCGCTGTTTCCAAATATATGTTAATTCCCCTTCCCTGATTCCCCCCCACTCAGTCATGCTGGGACAGGCTATCCATGTCAATGGTGAGAATAGCTCACCAATTCCATTTGCTACTTGAAGATCAAGTGAAGCGCTAAGGTAGGGTAGAGGCAATGAGTTCCTTAACCATGATAAGCATCCCTTTTTCCAGGGGCCAGGGGTTAGAAGGGAAGCACTGGGGAGGGCAGGGGAGGCACTACACTGCCCAGGAGGGGAGGGGAGGGCAATATTCAACTCTGACCAGGATGCCCCTGCCTGCTGCATTTAAGAAGAAATACTTGCCTGCATGTTGGCTGCCCAGAATGCTTGCTGTGCTTGGAATGGCTGTGACATAATGCATAAAACAGGGCCTTGGAAGTCTGGCCCCATATTTGTAAGCAAATAGTTGGTATTTCTTGCTAGCTTCTATTTTAAGCCAAAGTGTTGTTGATCCTGTGATAATGACTTAGCAAAACAACTTGCAAAGTGAGTATGTAAATGATTGAAGAAAACGTTGGCATCTGTTTCATACAGATTTTACCACTCACAGCATCAGGAATGCAAAAAAACCCCCCAGAATTGTAATGCTAAAACCACAATATCTAAAATAACTGTTCTAATTGTCAACAGATTCTAAATAAACTAGAAAGAGAACGAGGGCTGGAAGAAGCTCAGAAACAACTCTTGCATGTAAAAGTCTTATTTGATGAAAAGAAGAAATGCAAGTGGATGTAAGCACTCTGGGGACTGGCTTAATCTGGCAAAATTCTTCAGACGACTTGGGAGCAAAATGGCTGCTTGAGCTACTCTGTGTCATTAATTTTTTTAAAGTTTGCACATAGGTTCCACTTTGAGCACTTTTAGAGACCAAGGCACATGCACAGCTTTTAGAAAGCATACCAACCACTGTGCCTGTGCATATACTGTAGGAACCTTTCTGTAAATAGAGTCGAAGTGGTTGTTGCAAACAGCCTCCTTGTTTACAGAGAATACAGGGCCAGTAAGCAAGTGTCAGTTAACTATAGTCTCCACTTAAGCACAATGACAGCAGTGGTTTTGTGTCTGAAAACTACAGTTATGTAGCACTTGTGACTACACTGCACCTCTGCAGAAAAGGGACACTGCCAGTGATCACAAGAAAATGTGAAATCAGTCATTTGGAAACAAGGTGGGAGTGTTAGGGCAACCTCGAGGATTTGCAGCATTGAAACTTTCCCCAGTAGTTCTTGGAAAAGCTGACCACGGAATTTGGTAGTGTGTACACTTAGCATTCGTGAGTGTGTGTGTGTTTTTAAACCAAAAACTGACAGTGTTGCAACATTGTTGAAAGGGCTCGTGTTTTTCAGTGGTCGCCAACTGCACTCCATCAACTCACCTCCATCTCACGAAGGAGCTCTAAAGCAAGGAGAGTGAGGAGGCTTTATTTAAATGCAACAGCATTTTACCCACTTTGTCCTGATGTGTGTTCCTTTTTTTCATTTTTTTCATACTAAATGTATTTGATAGTGGACATGTTGACTATTGTAAAACAAAACATCATTAGTTTATTTCTGTCTAAAAACTTTGATCAGAACTATCTGTAGAAGAGTAACTCCCTCCCCTACTCCTACATTTCTATACTTGGTGTCTCCTTGCTTTAGATTTCTGGTGAACCCTGTGGTTATAAATACTTGTGTGTGATTAAAAAAAAAAGATACACTTTACATTTCATGAAATTGCTGTTCACACTGGAGTATTATATATGAATATATATGAGGCCCAAGGCCTGAAAAATATTAGTATACAACTTGGTATCTTAGTCTTACTATGTACTTTTTGAAAGTATTCCTCACAAGAGAAAGAATTCAAAATACCCATTTTATTCATGCCTTTCTTTTTAAAGAATTCCCTATCCAGTTATATTGTAACTGTAGTCTTTTTATTGCTGATTTTTTATTCCTGAATTTTTGCTGCTCATGACCAATTTTAATACCACTGTGTTTTCCTTCTATTAAATCAAAAGTAAAAAATGTAATTGGCAACTCTCACTTTCCTTGTGGCACCTTTTACCCTTGGTGTTCCAAATCCCAGATTAAGGAAAACATTTTTTCAAGTAGCAAGTAAAACATGGATCATATATTCCTTAGAATCTTTTACCAACATTGTATGGGATTATCAGGATTTAAATCTGAATCTGTCTTTGAAAATGAAATTCTTTTTGCTCCTCAGTTTCTGGCAAAGAGTAAGAGGTGATACCTCAACAAAATGATCAAATAAGCAGTTATTACCCTGATAGGCACCTTCCCAATCCCGTCACTTTTGACCATTGTCTGTCCAATGGACACACCTCAAAAATACTACCAAATAAAAGGTTACTTACAAGTATAAAGGTGAGAGGTCTGGTCTCCATCTAAGGCTGCTACAGTCTTGACATGAAGGCATTCATAAGAGAATAACAGGACAGTTGAGAGCCAAGGGTAGGAGAGTTGCCCAAAAGACTTCCCCTTCTTTAGGGTACAGAAATGCTAAGAAAAGGATCAGCTACAGCTTTATCTAAGTATTCAGTAAATGCTACATGAGGGTGTCCCTGTCCAGCTCTCTGGCACATGAGTCCCATGTGGAGCCCTACCTCCTCTTCCAGGGACGATGCTGCTGGGAACTTTGGGCAAGTCACTTACCTCTTTGTGCCTCAATTTCTGTATAATATTTCTAACCTACCTCATTGAGGTGGTGTGAAGATTCACTAATGTATGTAGCGTGTTTGTCAATCCTCCAGTGAAAAGCACTATCTAGATCACATTTTGGATCACATTAGCCAAACGCAGTAATGGCCAAATTAGATGTGTGCTGAAGACAATCAGTCACTGGGTCTATATTAAACTGCAACCAGAGAAACAAATGGCAAACAATTTCTATTTTCAAGTTTCTTTGCATATTTTTTTGGTGCAAACAATTCATTTATAAACTTTTTTTTCTAACACTAGTGTCTACAGCAGCATTTAAAAATTAATTCTGTTACCTTTTCCGTATTAGGGATTTAAAGTCTATTTCTTATTGTATACCTGATTGGAGCTGTACTTGGAGATGAATGTTTTAAATGTCTATATCCAAAAATAAACATTTTGATGTAAATGTGGACTGTCTGTCTTTTTTTTCCTTCAAATGTTCTAGTTACAATAGATTTTTTATTCTAAGTAGCTCCATGGAAATTATCTAGGTGCCAGCGCGAATGTGAATAAGCAGCTCTGTAATGTAAGTACATCTAGTTTCTTCTAAATGACGCTAAGGAATGCTCATTTACATCCCTGGCCTCCACTATCTACCTGGACTTTTGATTCTGAAGACTTCTGGATAATGAACATTCCACTTAGTTTGGCGGACTTGAACTGTGCCTTGTTGACGTGAAGTTATTCCAGTAGAATTCCTTTAAAAGAGGTTAGGGATACACAGAAATAAAACATTTATAATAATTTGGTTAGATCCAAAACAGTGGGAGGCAACATTAAATACCAACAATATTTCTAAGGGACCCCATGGGGGTTCAAGTTTTACAACGAATGGCCCTTGTTTTATACAGTCACGGGTTTAATTATTTGTACTTTGTGGCTTTGGGTTAGAATAGAAAATAACAATGAGACTGCGACATTGCTAAATACACAATGTATGGTCAAGACAAAATTAAACACAATATAGAAAAATACTTATTAAGCTCTTTAATTATGTGCACACAGCTTTACAACGGTAGCATTTTATAATATTTATATATCTTCAAGTTTTGTTTTTTAATGCTGACTTTTAAGTCATCTTTTTTCAAGAACTAGAGAACTCTAGTTCTATATAATAAACCGGAAAATGTTTACTGACCCTATTACTGCCAACTATCTCAAAGAGGCAGAACGAATTCAACATGGGCATATTGCAGGCAAAACACCAAAAAAAAGAGCCAAAAAACTTCAAAGTGAAAATAAAATAATTTAAAAACTTGATTCCCTAATTCATTCATCTTTTTTTTAACATTCTCAAAGGGTTGTCAATAAATATTCTAAATATCTCTGGAGTTGTTTTAATGCTTCACTTGTCATTAGCATAATCCTCCTAAAATCCTGACACTGATGCAATATATAGTACGTAGCCAGTACCTTTACTTGAGACACAAATGTTCTGGCAAATGGTAATACAATATCTAAATGCTACATATGTTAAAACTTCAAGCTTTATTGAGTCACACTGATTTCATCCCTTTTGATCTGCTTTTTCTCTAAGAACATCATTCCCCAGGAGATCCAAGTTCCTCTAGTTGTTTCCTTTGTGTTGTTTCTAGTTCTTCTAGTCTTTTGCGAAGTAGAGAGAGTTCCCTTTGATGCTGTTCCTCCTTAAAAGCACAGAAAAAGAATAAAATAAACTCAGAAAAACGGCTGGAAAAATAACTGTTAGGCAACAGCCTGAGCGGCTCTTTCACTCGGGCCTGCAACATCTGGCACGGAAAGGATGACCATTTTAGCAGTGAGAAGACAGCAGTGCAGGCCAGCTACTAACTAGTCCTTGCTTCTCTCTTGCCTCAGGCACTAGCCTTCAGCAAATCCCAAAGTCTGTTCTATCTAGGTATAAAACTCACCAGGGAGTGAATTAGAAAATACTAATGCTTACAGGCCAACGTTCTAACAAGGCTGGAGTTTAATAGCAGCTTAATATAAACAAAGCACTTGGTCTGAGATTCAATTCAGTGAATAAATCTTTGGTGCTTATAACATTATAAAATGTAATTACTTATTAACAGTTCATCTTTCGGAAAATCATCCCATCCATTTGATTCCTTCAACATCTCAGGGAACTAATACAGTAGAACGAGCCCAAGATTTGGAATCAGATTTAGGTTTGACACTTCAATTCTGTCACTTATTAACTATGACCTTAGGCAAGTCACTCCACCTCTGACTCAGCTTCCTCATCTGTAAATTGGAATAATAACACCTTCCCTCAAAGTATTTTCCATTAGGATTAAATATCGTATGGAAAATGCATAATGCAGAGCATTAGTAAATGCTCAGTAGTGGTTAGTAATCGAGTGAGCTGTAAACTCTAGGTTATTCAAAGACTCATCAATCAAGTTTCTTCTTTTCAACTGCCCAGGAGATTTCACTCCTAGCACCATTACTAAGGGACAGAATAGATTCAAATCCACTTTGCTTCTACCAGCAAATTTCTATGATAAAGATTTGAGTTTTTAACTCTGAATTTAAACAGGTAAAAACTTACAGAAATGTTAGTGCCTTTTTTTTTTTTTTAACCATAAATGCTCATACCTGCATATGAGGAGGAAAGGATAGGTCCATGCCTGGAACCATGGCTGATGACTGAAAGCTAACAGGATTGACAGATGCTGTTGGAGGTATGTTAGGAAGCAAAATTAAACTTCGAAATTCATTATGTCTTCTCCGTATGTCCTTTAGTCTTTTTTGAAGTCTTGTATATTCTTCAAATGGAACATTTTGTCTTAAAAAAGAAAAAAAGTGTTTCTGTTCTTTAATAGTTATACTCTTGTAGAACAGTATGATTCACAGATTTCCAAACTGGAAGAAAACGGACTTCAAAACTGTAAGATTTATCTGTATATGATATATACATAAAACTCTATCTAAAAAGATAAACAGAAATATGACATCTTAATCATATGTTATTACTGTTAGCACTGCAAGCTTTCAACTCATTTTTATTATTTTTTAAAGATTTATTTATTTTAGGGTGCCTGGGTGGCTCAGTCTGTTAAACGTCTGCCTTTGGCTCAGGTCATCATCCCAGGGGCTCCCTGCTCAGTGTCTGCTTCTCCCTCTGCCCCTCCCCCTGCTTGTGCTCCCTTCTCCCTCAAATAAATTAAATCAAATCTTTTTAAAAAAAGATTTATTTGAGAGAGAGGGTGAGAGAGTGCATGCATGCGTGTGCACGCATGCAGGGAGGGGGAAGAGGAGAGGGAGAATCTCCAGCAGACTCCCCAGTAAGCGGGAAACACAACTCGAGGGGGCTTGATCTCATGACCCTGAGATGATGACCTGAGCCGAAACCAAGAGGTGAATGCTTAACCAACTGAGCCACCCAGGCAGCCCAACTATCAACTCATTTTAAAGTTTTATTTGCCAATTAATCAATGATTAAAAATCTTTCAATACTTTTACTTTTATTTCCACTCCACTCCACCAACCCATAAATCCTAAAACTGAAGACTCCTTAAACCAAAAGGGTGCGTTATTTTATAGAAGGAATCAAGTAGAAAATAGAGAAAATAGTAGGTTGAGTCATATGAAATTATCATTTTTATAGGTAAAATATAGTCCAATATAGGGAATTACATGTTGTTCAAGCTAATTATTAAAAATGTAGCTAATGGGCCTGCCTGGGTGGCACTTAAGCCAACTCTTGGTTTCGGCTCAGGTCATAATCTCAGGGTCAGGAGATCAAGCCCACATGGGACTCTGAGCTGAGCAGAAGCCTGCTAAAGTTTCTCTCTCCCTCTCCGCTCCCAACCCACCCACATGCACACACACTCACTCTCTGTCTCGCTCTCTCAAATAATTCTTAAAAAAGAAATGTAACTAATGACAAAGGTGAAGCTACCCACCAACTTTAGGGGAAAAGGATTTGGGATAAAAAAGCTAACTTTTCAGGCCTTTACATACCATCACCTTTTTGGACATGAATTTCCTGACCATCAACCACACCACTAATTAAATACAGTTTTCAAAACCACTCAAAGTTCTAGATGATCAGTGCCATGGCTGCCCAATCTTGATAATATTGATAATATTTCAAAATTAATGGTTATAGAAGAGGTAGGAAATTGAATTTTGATTTAAAAGAAATTTGGTGGCTTCTTACTTTGGAACAGAGTATTATAAAGCTGGCATGAATTTGGGACCCCTGGATAGCTCAGTCAGTTAAGCACCTGACTCTTGATTTTGACTCAGGTCATGATCTGAGGGTTGTGAGACTGAGCCCCATCTGCTTAAGATTCTCTCTCTCCCTCTGCTCTCCCCTCGACTCTCCCATTTGGAAAGGAAAGGAAAAGAAAAAAGAAAAGAAAAGAAAAAAAAAGGGCATGAATTCCATAGTCTATAAACTTCAGGTTTCCAGAAAAACAACTTTCACATTTTGGTAACAATCACATCCAAGGAAGACAGGTGCACATTCTAAATAAAACATCACTGCTTGATATTATAGGCAATTTCCATTACAGAAAAGTCTGACACTCTCTCATGCTGACGGCTACCACTGAAATTAGCTGAATTTGAAAAGTCTGTATTAACTAGAATCAAAGAGGTCATACAATGCCACTACCACTAAGTTAATATGGCAAATCATCTCTGCTCAAACATGCTCATCATGCAGATTATTAGCTATGTTTGTATGTAAATGAAAAACCAGAAGCTTTGGGCCAATAATATTTTTCCACAATCAAAAATCTTGATTCAAAATTCCAGACACATTTTTGGAACTATGAAATGCTACAACTCTCTTGTCTCAGTAGCAAGAACTCACACCACTCCTGGCTACCAAAGCCAGTGACCTTTCCTGTCAGTCCCAACCATAACACAAATGCCTGGCATATGTTAAAGACCTTCTGGTTTGAAGGAACAGTCAGCCAGAAAAAAAATAATAAGGATAATGAATTAGGAGTACAACAGTTTTAGAATTCTTTTAAACATAAAAGAAAACAAGTGCATTATAGAGAAAACAATGAAAGAAAGTATATTTTAAAAGATCAGTATCAAAGTTCTATAATGTCACTATATGGGATATGTATTTATACAAACAATTACCTATTTAACACCTGATTTTCTGTTTCTAATTCTTCTCTCTTTGCCTCTAAGACTTCTACTTTCTCCTGCAGTCTCTTCAATTTGTTTTCATGAAGAGATTTTCTCTAGAAAAAAAAGAAACAATGTGAGCAAATACATTAATACAAAATCTCCTCTTTGAACAAAATATAGAGAGAATATTTTACTCAACAAGAGAAATTTTACTTAAAGTATTTTCAGTGAATACTAGGAAGAAAGATTAGTAGATATGATTCTTACTGAAAACGGCAAAGATAATAAGCCACAAATGTACCTCATATCTTCACTGTGACAAATAGAACTGTTACGAATGCCAAACCAGAAAATGGGTATCAATAACTAACTGCTGCCAATAAAATATCTAAAAAAGGGAGTCAAATTTTACTAATGAGTTTACCTGTCACCTGATAAGGAATCACAAGCTCTTTATTTTCCCAAAAGATACGTTTTATAAAAGAACTAAAAATTTAAAAATAAAAGCATGCTTACAATTGATAAATTGTTACCAAAGCAATAAAGGATCAGAAAGCTAAAACAGATTATGGATGCATCTCAGATTGAAAGTATGCCTTTCTAAATATTAAAAAGAAAAAATTTAAACTTTACAAAGGGAAAATTTTCTAATATGGAAAAATCGGTATAATGCAAAAGTGGTATATAAACAAAGGTAGTTTTTCATTTTTATACGAGGTTTTGTTTTTTTATAGAAAAAATATGTATAAATGTTGCAACTCATTTAGTAGCTACAGACCTTTCAGGTATTTGTTTTGTAACTCTTTTACTGAAGTATATCAGGCTTATAGAAGAATGCACAGAATGTAAACATAAAGCAAAATGTAAAAGCACAAAGCAAATGCTGACCCTCTTACCTCATGGGTCAAGAGCACTGCCATACCAGAAGTGCCCCGACCCCTCCTCTTTTCAATCTCTACCCCCTTCTGTCCTCTGAAAAGGCAACCAATTTACTTCCAAAGCTAGAGCACAGTTTTGCTGATTTTCATATGACCAGAATCATAGTCTATTTGAAACTCTTTTACAAATGGCTTTTTTCACTCAAGATTGTGAGATATATTCATGTTCTTGCTTACAGGAATAGTACATTGCCACATGTTGTCCTGTACTTACGAATATCACATAGTTTAATGTATCTACCTGGTCCACCACTGAGGGTCATCTTGGGTTATTTCCAGTTGGGAAATAACACTGCTTTGGGCATTCTTTCTCATGCTTCCCATCACTTCCCATCCTCCAGCACCCCAAAAGGTTACGTCGCGCCTCCTCCCCTCTACCCTGGCAAAGGAACCATTCTTCTGTCCTTAATCACAAGTATATATTTATATGTTTACAGGTAATTTAGAACTCTGTCTATCTACCAATCTACCTGAATTTAAAGAATCATACAGTATATACTCTTCAGTCTTTGGGGTTTTTTGTTGTTGTTAAATATGTTGTCCATATGACTAAGCCATATTATTGTATGGCAGTTCTTTTCCATTGTTATGTTGTCATCCATTTTATAAATACACATCTAACCCATTCTCATAATGAAAACCAGAACTGTTTCAATGTTGAGGTTATTATGAATAAAGTTTCTATGAACATTCTTTAACATGTTTTTGGTTGATATATGCACTCATTTCTCTTGAGTATATACTCAGGAGTGAGTCACAGCTTTAATAAATACCACCAGTTTTCTAAAGTGGTTCCATTAATTACATGCTCACCAGCAATCTGTGAGCGCAGCCACTATGGAAAACAGTACGCTGGTTTTTTAACTTTTTAAAAAGATTAAATAGAACTACCATATGATCCAGCAATTACATACACAATGGAATATGATTCGGTCATAAAAAAGAAGGAAATCTTGTCATTTGTGACAACATGGATGGACCCTGAGGGCATCATGGCAGGCAGAGAAAGAAAAAATACTGTATAACCTCACTTATCTGGAGAATCTAAACAAATGAAACAAGCTCACAGATACAAAAAACAAATTGGTGGTTGCCAGAGGCAGGGGGTGAGGGATGGGCAAAACGGGTGAAGGGAGTCAAAAGATACAAATCTTATGTTATAAAGTAAGTCCCAGGGATGTAATACAGCATGATAACTATGCTGTATCACATATTTGGAAGTTGCTACAAGAGTAAGCCGTAAAAGTTCTCATCAGAAGAAAACAACTTTTTCTATCTATGTATGGTGATGGATATTAACTAGACTCATTTATTGTGATCATTTCACAATATATAAAAATATCAAATCATTATGTTGTCCATCTGAAACTGACATGTTAATATGTCAATTACCTCTCAAAAAAAAAGACTGTTGAATCCTGTAATAGCCTAAGAAGGCAAACACAACAAAATGATTCATATGAGTACTTAAATTTAGTTATTATTCACAGATTTGCTAGACATAATAAAATAGGATTAACAAAAAAAACCCCTATTTGTTGACCCTCTTCCAGCAATTTTAAATTGTACATAATAGCTTGATAGCTGTTTGCATTTTTATTCATATACAATCATGTCATGTGTGAATGACAATTTTACTTCCTCCTTTCCACTCTTTATACATCTTTTATTTCTTTTTCTTGTCTTATTATACTAGCTAGGACCTCCAATGAAATGTTAAACAAAATGGTGATAGTTCACATACTTGTCTTGTTCCTGAACTTGGGTGGGTGGAGGGACGCATTCAATATTTAATCAGTAAGTATGATGTTAGATGTAGGACTTTTGTAGTTACAAAATCCCTTCTATTCCTACTTTAATGAGTTTACTGTGAAAGGATGTTAAATTTTGTCAGATTTTTATGTCTATTAAGATGATCACAATAGTTTTTCTTCTTTGTTCTGTTACAGTGTTGAATTATACTAATCAATTTTGAATGTTAGGCTACCTTATATTCCTAGAATAAACCCTGTATGTTCATGGTATATTATCATTTTTATATATCACCAGATTCAGTTTACTAGTATTTAAGATTTTTACATCTGTTTATGATGTCATAAACCCAACAATGTTGGGTTCTAACCTTATATAATAAGTGGGGATGTTTTCCTTTCTTTTCTATTTCCTGGGAAAGTCTGTGTTAAGAATGGTATTATTTCTTGAGTATTTGGTAGAATTTATCAGTGAAGCCAAATGAGCCGGGCATTTTCTCTATGGAAGGTTTTAAATTATGGATTCCATTTATTTAGCAGATACAGGACTATTCAGATTACCTAATTCTTCCTGTATTAGTTTTGTTAAGATGTTCCTCAAAGAATTTGTTCACTTCATCTAAACTGCATAATTAGCATAGTTGTTTATATAATATTCTTATTGTTTTAGTATCTATAATAGGGTCACCTGACTGGCTCAGTCAGTAGAGCAAGCAACTCTTGATCTCAGAGTTGTAATTTGAGCCCCACGTTGGGTGTAGAGATTACTTAAAATCTTGGAAAAAAAAGAAAGAAATATAGTGATACCCCTTTTTCATTCATGATATTGTACATCTGTGTTTACTTCCTACCTATCTATTTTGTGGGGAGTTAGGAAAAAATGAGTCTAAGGCTTTATCAATTTTATTGATCTTTTGAAAGCTGATTTTTTTTTTTTAAATTAGCCCTTGGTATTTTAAATTTTCTCTAGTGTATATTTTGTTTCATTGATTTCTGGTCATACCTTGAGAATGATGACGGTGTCTGCAGTTAAATCTATCCACTAAATTCATAATTCAGTTATTGTGTATTTTAGTTCTAAACTTGCTATTTATTTTAATGGTTTTGTTTTCTGGAGCAATTCTCAAGCTTTTATTTTCTAAGCCTATAACAATATGTTAGTTTTAAATTCTATACCTGACAACTTCATTACCTGGATCCTCTACTGGGGCTTCTGTTTTTATTGGTTATCATTTCTCTTGCCTTTCAGTGTTATTTCCTCATGTGGTTGGGATGATGTTGATGATGATGATGATGACGATTATTCTTTATTAGTAGAGTTAAAGTATTTTGGGTTTGCACAGAAAAATTTAACAGGAGTAGAGAGTTCCCATATACTAACCCCTTCACAGTTTCCCCTATTATTAACATCTTACATGGGTGGGGTACATTTATTAATGAACCAATACTGAAATAATATTATTAACTAAAGTCCATAGCTGACATTAAGTTTCAGTCTTTGTGCTGTACAGTTCTATAGGTTTTGCCAAATGCATGATATCATGTATCCACTATTATGGTATTTTACAGAATAGTTTCACAGCCCCACAAAATTCCCTTGCTCTACCTATTCATCCTTACCCCCCTACCCCCTCCACCCCTGGCAACCACTGGAGTTTTTTTTCTGTCTCCATAGTTTTGCCTTTTCCAGAATGTCATATAGTTGAAATCATTCAGTATATAGTCTTTGCAGACTGGTTTCCTTCACACCAAGCAACATGCACTTAAGGTTCCTCCATATCTTTGCATGGGTTGACAGCTCATTTGTTTTTATTGCTAAATAAAAATATCCATTGTATGGACGTAGAACAGTCCTTTTTTTAATCCATTTAGCTATTGAAGGACATCTTGCTTACTTCCAAGTTTTGACAAATAATGAATAAAGCTGCTATAAATGTTTATGTGTTTTCTTGTGTGTGAACGTAAGTTTTCAATGCATTTGAATAAATATCTAGGAGCATGATTGCTGGATGGTCTGGTTTGACTATGTCTAACTTTGTAAGAAACTACCAAAGTGTATTCCAAAATGGCTGTACCCTGTTCCAATTCCACACAGTGAATTAAAGTTCCTATTTGTTCCCTCTTCACCACTGTTTAGTATAGTCGGTGTTTCAGATTTTAGCCATTCTAATAGGTATGCAGTGTTATTTGTGTCTATTATTTATATTTCATTTATGCTTAAATTTTTTATTTATTATATATTTTAAAACTATGGAAACAATTTGAAGTTTATAATGTTATTTTCCCCTAAAGTAGACTTACATTTGTTTCTTGCAGGCAGCTAGAAACACTAACAATTTGGATAATTTTAATCTAATTATAAGGACTGACATTATCTGAAGCTATGTTTCAATACTTGCAAGGGCTAGGCTATTTCCAGTTCAT